CCTCGTATATATATATATATATATATATGTGTGTGTGTAAGAACAATTTACATCTTGCAATACGTCATGCAAACACAATTCGATGTTATAAAAGGAAATTTGAATAGATAACTTCCGCAAAGCATTTTGCAATTACCTTCATATCCATAAGTGGAAGAAAGAAAGTTTTAACTTTTAAAGTGATCAAACAATTTTATTCTTTCATATTGCTCTGCTCGCGTTATATAATATTTTAATCTATGCCAGTCCATAAAGCAGCACTAATCTTATTCACAGTCTGCTTCCGAATTATCATAGAGAAATGCTTCCTAGAATTTACAAGAGGCAAGAACTGTTAAGAAATGTTATCGGCAAAAATATGCTACTGTTTATGTTTCTGTTATCAGTTAACTCATACACTTTCACACCATAATTCATCATGTGTAAATATACTATCAAAAAAAGGAGGGTAAAGTTTTATATCAGAATAAATGTTACTTCTGCAATACCATACATTAAATATACTATAGTAGAAATTCAACGAAAATACGCAAAATGTAGGCAGTAGATATTTGATTGTTTCCCATTTACACTGTAATAAATGTGACAATTGCATTCTAAAAAGATAATAGAAAAATCATCATTTCATACCGTAATTAAGCTCTTCAGACCCTTATACGGAGTTTTCGTAATGGATCTGAAATTATATCCTCAGAAATTCTTAGAGAGCCTAGTAAAATATACACTGCTCGACATTGAAAATGCAACACCAAGAAGGAGTGGTCAGAAATTTTTGCAAATTTTAGAGTAGACGCACGTAACTGAGTTATGCGAATGATGTGAAATACGCAGCTCTCCGACGCACGTGAAGTAAGATATAAGGGAAGGAACGTGCAGAATGGACAATATTCGTGTCGTTATTTCTGCCAGACGAATGATCGAAGAAAGTTAGTTTTTGTCTCGAAGGATACCTGTAATAGGAGAGAATGCCAGGCCGTCGTCAACGAAGGCACTTCCAGCAGATAGACGATGATCGGACTGAGAAGGACGGGTTTGTCCTTACGTCGAATCGCAGCTGATACCCACATGGATGCGAGCACGGTGCATCGGTTATGACGAACATGGTTGGAACAGGGAAATGTGGGAAGAAGGAGGGGTGCAGGTGCAAAAAGAGTGACGTCAGCACGCGTGGATCGACGCATCCGCCGACAATAATTCTATATATTTCATTAAACAGAATTTAAAAAAATAAAAATTTAAAATATAAAACATTTTTACGGTAGGTAAATTCGAGTATACCACGAAATACATAAATTCTGAAATAGATTTATATGTTTATACAGGTCCTGTACCGCGATTCTTCAGCATGTGCAAGATACCCTGGATGTTCCCGTGTCAACCAGAACCATTTCCCGTCGATTGATTGAACGTGGCCTGCACTCACGGTGTCCGTTAAAAAGACTGCCATTGACCCCACAGCATAGACGCCAACGTTTAGAATGGTGTCGCACTGGAGCGATGTGGATGACAGAATGGCGAAACGTCGTGTTCTCAGATGAGTCACGCTTCTGTTTATCCAGTGACAGTCACCGCATACGTGTGTGGCGTCGACATGGAGACAGATCTAATCTGGCAGTAACTGTAGAACGCCCCACCACACTACGACGTGGCATAATGGTTTGGGGCGCTATTGCCTACGATTCCAGGCCACCTCTAGTTCGTATTCAGGGCACTATGACGCCCCAACGATACTTGGATAATGTACTGCGGCTGGTGGCAATACCCTACCTTCAGGCGCTGCCTAATGCAATATTTCAGCTGAATAACGCCCGACCACACAGTGCTCGCATCTGCCAACATGCTCTGCAAGGTATCAAGGTGTACAGATGCTTCCCTGGCCGCCATACTCTCCTGACCTGTCGCCAATCGAACATGTGTGGGATGTGATTAGACGCCGTTTGCAGACTCTTTCCCTGCCTCGTTCAGAAGACGAACTGTGGCAAATGGTTGAAAGGGAATGGAGAGCCATCCCTCAGGATACCATCCGCACTCTTATTGACTCTATGCCTAGACGTGTTTCTTCGTGCATCGCTGTCCGCGACGGTCCTACATCCTACTGAGCCGACGCCGTTCTCGCTCTGTATTCTGATTATCATTTTGAAATAAAGATCACTTATTGCTGCTTGCTAGCTCTGTCTTTTTTCCAAATTTCATCATTTTCTGACCACTCCTTCTTGGTGTTGCATTTTCAATGTCGAACAGTGTAATACTGCGTGATATATATTTAAAAAACATTTTTCTAATGAGAAGGGCATAATATGCTATAGTCTCTCCCAAATCTGTTTTTCAGGTAAGAAATATTAATGCAACTGAGTTGTAGCTCATTTCTTTTAATCGTCATATGATACTGTGCGTTTGAATTACGCACAACGACCATTAAATCAACGTCCCGCATGCTGTAAAGTTTGAAGGCAAGTAAGGAACTAGTCGAGTTTTCTGTAAGTACTAAGCACGTTGAAAGGCGGATGCATTCTAAGTAAAAGGTAGTTGATATAACGAAGCGGTAAGCAAGCACACGCGTTTTGCAGCGTATTATGTCTCTGCTATCAAATGCAGGGGCAAATGTCAGCTTTAGTTTAAAAGGTTTTTACATCGCGGTAAATTTGATATTCATTATGTTCATGTACTTGCATAAGCAGTACTAAAGTTTCATTTTTTTTTCACCATGATTTCTGAAATTTTCTTTAACACTTCTGGTACCAAACAGGATAATGTAGAAGTTCTCTGTATGGTAGGAGAGAATGGGGAAGTAATATGCACCAAGGGCGAATGTACTTACAAGTGTAGTAAGTACACAAGGTAGTAGTGGGGTGTATTTATTAAAATACGCATATACGCCTTTTATGTATGCATTGGTAAAGATCAAAGAAAAGAAATATTTCAACACTTGCTTATAATTTTCCGTATTTTAAATAAATATATATAAGGAAGGGACTATTCTGAACTTTTGAGAAGAGACGGGGGAAATTTAAATAACTTAATATTGAGTTCCCTTAGGAATTTTTAGTCGCCTTAAATGCCCAAAGAATATAAGCCGTTTAAACTGTCAATCCAGTAGAAACGAATTAACTCTCGTATTGTTTATTTTTCCTAAACTATAGATCTTATTTGTGACGTGTAGTTAATCTTATTGTAATGTGAAATGATGCGTGTTGTCTTATACGCTGACAGCATTATCTATCTTTTAAGCTTTTAAAAATCGATAGTATGATCAGTAGAGGATTACAGCCTGGAATTCATAAAATCATATTGTAATTTTAGAATTTGAAGTAAATAAATAAATATGCTAAATTTACTGCTTGTATAATGGCAGAACGGCTAGAAAGAAAGGAAGGTATGTGTAATGATTCAGAAATTAAGATGCCGTTGAATAGGTAATTTTATTGGCATCTAATTGAATGCACTCGTGAGCTAGAGATGAGACTTTTCTTGTCAGAATGAGCAAAGGTGTTTCTCTTCCCTCTTGAATTACACTTTCACAACTTCTACAAATAAAGTGTGTATGTACACTTTATTTATAGAAGTTGTTTATTTGTATAACATATACATACAGTGTGGTAAATCAGTGGAAGTAATATAATTTCATGTATCAGTCGACATTAAAAACGCAGTTTGTTATCTTGTTACTGAATTTCATGGAAGAATGGTTGCCAGCTCTTCAAGGTGGTTGGACTTCTATTTTCACCCTACTGTTGAGGAAGCGCACCCCGGGGTGCCGCTTTTCCACACGATAGGACTTTCGTATACCATATATTTCGATAGGACCATATATTTAGAGTGCCCCCATGCCGAAAAGACGCTATACATTTACAAACCTTCATGCCTTCTCCTTTATTCGAACCCGAGCCCTTCGGCACCGCAGCAGGCTTCCCTAACCACTATACCGTCTGGGCGGCTAAGAACTCAGTAGTACTGACTTATTAATATTTGTTTATAGAAAAATGGAATTTGTAAATGAATGAAGTTGTAACTTATTTGTACGTCAAGGTAATATCGATGTTTCTATTAGGAGCGACAAATAGCTCTTGATTTGCTAGCCCTTTGCACTCGATGGCAATCACTCTTACCGTCTTTCGGTTAGACCAGGGTTTCTTAAACTTTTTTCATTCGCGACCCCTTTTTATCACTGAGATTTTTTTCGCGACCCCCAAGACCCCATAATATTTACAAAAATTTTGTGGGACCCCCATTAAGTATTTACAAATTCGACACACACATCGCTGAAACCGTCAATTTTTTCACTTGTACTGTCATCTTGTATCACTTGTACTATTGCAGTTTTAGGTCATTAACTATAATTTCTATTTTTAAGATATAGAACAGTGTCAAAAATTTTGAATAAGTAACAGACGAAATGATAGCGTCACGTGCAAAGCAAGAAAAATGAACGCTTATATTATAAAAAGAATGCGTCGAAACGTTTTCGTTTTTTCCTTTGTCTGTATTGTCTTATCTTTATCTATTTTCAGATACATTGTGTAAAATTATTTTAATAAGAAATATCAAAACTGCTAAAATTTTTGGCGACCGGGGTCACGACCCACAGTTTAAGAAACCGTGGGTTAGACCAAAGAATTTCATGTGATTCCTCTGTTTGTAAATGCCAAGAGTTGGTGCGATGCTTCTTATTTATTATTATGATAGCTGTAAACGAAGGTTGACAAGAATCCAGCATTGACGAATAATAATTATAACTCGCATTTATAAATGTTGCGAATAAAATTGAGGCAATATATCATTAGTTTCTAACAGTGTATATTTTTTGCACTATGTATGGCTTCAGAATGTTTTTAAACAATATCTAAAAGATATAGAAAGTGATTTCGAGTGTAATTACTGAAAATATATGTAATGTTAGAAATTAAAGCAATATTGCCAGCTAAGATGAATTACGATATGTATATTTTAAGGTATTATTTTATCCTGCATAAACCTGAATATAATTTTTTCTTTCTTTACAGATGAACATTATATGCTACTGTTATGAAGAAATGTAGTTTCCCCTGTTATGTAAGTTTAAATTTACTGATATTTTAATTTATCCGCGTGTTTTGAATACAGAAAATGCATATGTTTTGTGATTTTACTGTTCACTTCTTAAAGGTTTATTAACTGTGTTAGAGCCAGTTGTTCATGATTTTTGAAATTCTTTAATTGGTATTTTTTATTTATTTACTTTAGATTGTTAGGTTGGATTTATTTTAAGTTGAAATGCTTAAAATATATTGAGGTATTTTTTTTTTCAATCTTAATAAAAGAATATGAACATTGTACTTTTAAAAGCTTTCGAAGTTATATAATGGCTGTAGGCCGTGTATCCTAATTCCATATTTGGTAAATAGAAAATAAAATTTTAACATAAACTTCTAGTTTAACGCTAAAATAGAGAAAAAAAAAAAAAAAAACTTCTAGCTTAAACTTTTTCATCACGGCTGTTGCGTGCCTTCGTTCTATCCTCTACGCTAAGAGTTCCACTCTATCGCTAAAGATAAAACAAAAAACGCTTTACTTTTATTAAATATCTTTACGTGTCTTTCGCTTCCTACGACAATAATAAATATTAATCCTTATAGTTATTTAAAAACATAATAAATAATAAAATATAAAAACTTACCAAAGATATGATGCGGAGAAAAAATGCTCTGTTATTTGCAGTCGTTAACATCATACTAAAAGCAAATGACAAGGGTAATAAGAATACCCCCTCCCCCCCAAAAAAAAATCTGAAAGGTTTCAGATTTTAAACTACGCCCAAAGGGGCATTTTTTTTAACATTTTGTCTGTTACCTTTATTAAATATTACGTTTTTCGCACTTGAACCATAAAATTCCGTTAAGAGCAATATCGCAAAATAGTCTTAAATTGAACATATTTTTAGAATTTCCGATACAGAGTCTCGCGCGCTAGAGATAAAAATATTTTTTTCTGTACAACGTTGCAATTGCTAGCTTTGAAATCCTTGAGTTTGTTACTCAAAAATTCGTTAAAGTTTACAAAATATTAAATCGATAATAAAACAAATTCCAAATTTCAAATTATCTTCCACATGCCCATATTCGTAGGAGGATTACGTCATTCAAAATTCGATGGCTCTATGTACCTTTGTTTTATTACAATGCAAAACATATACATACATTTATGCAGATTTTTCATTATTTAATTTCCTCAAACATAATGCAGGACTCTAACACAAAATTGCGAAACGAAAACAGTAGTCCTTCAGGGACAAAAGTGCCTTTGGACTAAACTAAAAAAAAAAAAAAAAAAAAAAAAAAAAATCTGAACGGTTTCAGATTTTAAGTACGTCTAAAAGGGGCGTTTTTTTTTTTTTTTTTTTTTTTTTTTAACCGTTTTGTGCGTTGCCTTTATTTATTAAATATCATGTCTCACTTAAACCATAAAATTCAGTTCAAGAGCAATGTCGCAAAATAATTTTAAAATGAGCATATCTTTAGAATATCCGATACACAGTTCCATGCGTTGGAGCTAAAGAGGGTCCCCCCCTTAGAGTGTTGCCATTCCTCGCTTTTAAATCGTTGAGTTTGTTAATCAGAAATTCGTTAAAGTTTTACAAAATATAAAATCGATAATAGAACAAATTCCAAATTTCAAATTTGGGCTTTCAGATGCTCATATTTGCAGTAGGATTACGTCATTCAAAATTGGGTGGCTCTAGGTACCGTTGTTTTATCACATGCGAGAAACATACATACATATTTATGCAGATTCTTCATTATTTAATTTCCTCAAATATAATACAGGGCGATAGTATTTGGTGGCAACGATTTTAAAAGTGATACAGCCTTTTAAAGTTTTCAACGTAAAACGAAAACAATAGTCCCTTTGGACTAATAAATCGTAAATCTCGCCTAAGTCCAGAATTTATCTTAACCCATTCCTGTTAACGTCTTTTCCTTAAGTGTCAAAACTAAGAATTCGAATCGGTCTCTTGCCACTGTGTTGCTAACACTGAATCACTTCATCAGTAATCTTCAAGACGCCAATTTCTTGGTAAGTCCCGTTGCAAAAATAAACCCTAAAAATTTCTTCATTTCTTCATCAGTTGGTTTTTAACGACGTATACGACTTTTTGGTTTGGCTGTTGATTCATGAATGCATTGCTCCGCGTACCTGTTGGTTTGAAATACGATGATTTGCATTATTTCTTTAGTGACAGTTATGAAAAACTTCTGTTGGTCGCTGGAAGGCCGAGAGGTCTGTACATTCTGGATGCATTATGCCACTACTGCCCTGAAAAATGTCATTAGTCGGCGTTAATTCGTAGCAACTTTACTCTATTCATATGACGTTGAAGCATTTTTAGAATGATCAGCTTCACTTTCTTTACGTTGCAATACTTTCTGTAGTATAAACATTAGTATTCCAGCCTGAGACACACTGAAGTGACTCCATATTTGCTTCATCTCTTTCTGCAATTTCTTCGACATTTCTTTCATCTTTGGTGCCCGAATCGGCAATACAGTCGGTAAGTTTACAACTGCTTTACCTATCTGAGTCGATGACCTAAATATACTCTTCATCAGATAAATTGAGCTATTTTTATTGGCTCGTCAATTGAAAGAAGCTCTCGCTTGCTCATTTTTCTTTTTAAAGAATGTAAAAAGTATGTAAAACGCACGCCAAACGTACAAGTGATACTGTAAGGAACTTCTATAGTTGTTATGGTTGCTGTGAACATAAATCATTTAAAAAAAATGAAAAATCGCATTTAAAGTTCTCAGATTAACATTACATAGCATATATATGTTACGGTGAAACACCGAAATTTGGAGAATGTCGACTTTCACCGGTGAATGTCAACATTCACATAGTCTCTTGGTGTATGTCCGAAATATTTTCCAAATACTTTTATTTCTGACTTACACCGGTCAATGTCGACATTCACCATATACTAATGGTGACTGTTGAACATATGACAATATTATATTTTCTTCTCCGTAATTCAGTCGCGAATAAACGCACTTGAAACTTGCAATAAGAACTTAAGAATATGAGAACCTAAAACACACAATACATTCAAAATGAGAAAGGAAAATAATAGAAGTTAAAAACTTACTTAATTATACAGTACGTTCTAAATGAGAAAAATAAAATAACAGTTATAAAAAACTTACTAAATTATGTGATTCAATTATTTATTGCAACAACTTAAACTATTATGGCACTTTATGACTTCTCTTTTCGACTTTCACCAGAGCATATCTGTGATTGTCGACATACACCGGTGAGGGTCCGAATATACAAGAATGTAGTGAAATATTCGGTTGTTTCACCGACGTATTTGGTGAATGTTGATATTCTCCGGTGAAAGTCGACATTCTCCAATTTCGGTCTTTCACGGTAACATATACACAACTATACACGTTGCCAAACGAAAAAGAAAAAAATACATAATAAAAATACTTTGCCAGGTTCTGAAGACTAGTTCCAATGCTTAAAATTATTTAGTTAACAAGTACCATAAAAAAGGGCGAAAATTGCATTTTTAATTTGCCCTTTAAATTTTCACTTCCGCTGTGACAAGCAAAAACTTCTGGTTTGTCATCTCTCAGAAAAACTGGGATATCTGCACTTCTAATAAACATATCGCGAACGGAAAAGTTGTTTTTGATAGCTAAGAAGATGGCCTTTTAGAATGTGAAATAAAATTTGAGATTTTTTAGCCAAAACCAGTCCTTTGAACGAGGTCAGTTACCTTAATTTGATTAAATTGTACATTCACACTTTAACATTTTACCGACCAATCGCCTATTAATCGGCTTTGTTTTCGCGAACGCCTACCGACCGCTAGCCTATTAATCGGCCTTTTTTCGCGAACGCCTACCGACCGATAGATAGCCTATTAATCGCTTTTTTGTTTCGGGGTTACCTAAAAATAGTCTATCAATCGGTAGCCATGGCGATAAACAATTGCCCTTTGCTATATCATCTGCATTTTATTATTGGGGAGAATCTGCGGCTGGTCGGACGTGCGTATGCTGTTGAACCGCTAGCGGTCGCTAAAGTGTTAAGCATTATTTTAGTAAAAAGCTCTGTTGTGTCGAAAAAGAGTTCCCGCTGTTAAAGTTGCAGAAACTAAAGGTCTTCGCCTTAGTCAGTCATAGAAGAATGAGCTTGTCCATGCCCGGTTACAGCGTTAAATCTTTCGTATGCTTTTCATGCAAATCCTGTAATCCCGCTGTTATTTTCGATGGTCTTTTCTAGTCGACAGAAGGTGTTGTTAAGACGGTAGAATCCTTAAGATTTCCCAGATTTATTGTAGTAAATGGAAAATAAGAGTATAACATATACAAGGTAATCTTCTCGTTGTGACTAAAGATGGCACCTTGTTATATGTACTTACTTTCATTCATCGCTTCTCTTCACGTATTCCAGTTTATAGCGTAAAATTGAATCCTTGAAATTTTTCCAGTGTGTGTATTCTGTTTCTAAAGTGTTATAATTCTTAAGCTTCATAGTAGTTTTAAGATGCAACTCTTGCAAAAGTTCTCATCATAAAACAAATTTCCGTTCAAAATTTCCTTCTCTATTGCTTTTAGAGGACGGGGCATATATTTTAAGCTAGCGAAATACGTCAAGATATTTTTATTGTCCTTATCCTTCCTTTATTTTATTGTCTTATTCCTAAAATTATTTGAATTTAAAAAATAATTGTTTAACAAATAAAACGTCTGAAATTTGTAATCAGGTTTAATTCGCAAAATACGCAGCAATTGTTGGTGCATAATGTCGTGCAGATGCACCATACACCTAGTTGTGGAAGGTAAAATGCCTGTATTCATTTAAATGCGTGTATATTTTATAGTGTAAATTTGGGCGTTTAGAAACTCTTTTATTTTTAAAAATCTAAATTCTGATATCTTCGTTTGTCTCCGTGCCTCCCTCTCCGCGCGCTCGTAGCATATGACCTAGCATTATCAGGTGCATAAATCGTAGCATTATCAGATGCATAAATATGTCCCATAAGGGAGGGATTCTTCAGAACCAAC